ATTCTCCATGGAGAAGCTGCTGTACCAGATCGCACAAGCAGAAGCCAAGAAGGAAAACGGCCCCACTCTGAGCACCATCTCGGCCCTGCTGGACGAGCTCAGGTGAGGATCGGCTGGCCTGGGGAACAGGGCTGGGCCAGCCTCTCTGCCGGGGGTGCTGGCTTAGCTCCACGGTGGGCTTTGCTGATTTAGCTGTGCTTTGCCCAAGCAGGCCATGAGGGGTTTAATGGGGACCCCAGAGATGGGGAGTGGAGTGGAAATCAACCCAGAGGGCCTGGCTCCAGGAACTCTTTGTCAGCCCATTTGTGGGGTGTGCATTCAGGCTTGAGTGTCTGTTGAGAGCGGGAGAGACACCCCAAGTTCACTGGTTAGTATGGCCTCCCGGGGCTGTGAGCATCACTATTTCTCTGCCTGTCCAGAGAAATATTTTTCTGCTCTGGGCCTGGAGGTGTGTGCACCTGCTGGGACCACTGGCAGAATCCTGCCTGAGGGATGTGGGCCCAGCTGGGCTCCCGGCCTTGTAGCTATTTGTGGCGGTGTGGGGGTACTGTGACCCAGTGGCTGCACAGAGGGTCCCGGCAGGCTGTGGCAGCTGCAGGCAGGTCCTTGGCAGAGCTTGCTGAGCGCCGGCCTGTGCTTGTCGTGTAGGGACACGGAGCTGCGGCAGCGCAGGCAGCTGTTTGAGGCAGGCCTCCACTCGTCCGCGCGCTACGGCAGCCATGACGGCAACAGTGCCGTCGCGGATGGCAAGAAAAAGCCTCGAAAGTGGTTGCAGCTGGAGACGTCGGAGCGGCGCTGCCAGATCTGCCAGCACCTGTGCTACCTCTCCATGGTGAGGCCTCGGCGCGGCTGCTGTCCATCTCGGGGGCCCCGTACTCTGCTCCTTGCTTTTTCTTGGGAGGGAGGCCCACCAGCCTCAGGTTGCAGCTTCTGTTCAGCTACGAGACCCCTCGGCCCCTGAGCACATGGCATACTTGGTTCAGGCGGGCTTTTCCTGTCTTTGCAGCCACTTGTTTCAGGCTCCAACTCTGCAACCCTCTGTTAACCATGATGGTCGGCTTCTCTCCCTTTGCTGCTGGCCTCCCTCACCCCCCGGTGGAGCTTGTTGGGGCCAGTGCAGCTCCTTGTGGGCACCTGCCCGACCAGCCTGGGGCAGGTGGCACTCTGGCAGCGACCCTGCCAAAGCTCAGGGCCCTGGACTCACGGGAGCACCCCACAGCAGGCAGCTTGACCTCTAGGCTGCTTCTCTTTGGCTGCCTGGAATGAAGTGAAAGTGGCCACCTCCCGCCGACAAAGAGAAGCTTGGTGCGGTCTCGTTTGCCATGAGTCAAAAGTGCCAGGAACTTTTGGGGTGGTACTGCGTGCCCCTTCCGTCCGTGCTGGATGTCTGGGTCCTGCAGGCCTCAGCCACTTCCCGTGGAGGCCCAGATGTTACAGCAGAGGGGACAGCCAGGGTTGCTGGTCAGGTTGGGGTTCTCCGTGTACGCAGTGCTCTGGGGCTCACAGAGCCTCCAGGTCTCCCTGGCAGCCATGTGGGCTCCCGTGACCTCTGCTGTCCTGCCCCCCGTGCAGGTGGTCCAGGAGAACGAGAACGTCGTCTTCTGCCTTGAGTGTGCCCTGCGCCACGTGGAGAAGCAGAAGTCCTGTCGGGGTCTCAAGCTGATGTACCGCTACGACGAGGTGTGTCAGGCAGCAGTGGGCTCTGTGGGGGCCCTTGCAGCCCCGTGGGGAGGTCCCTGCTGTCTGTGGTACGCCCCTTCCAGCAGCACCTACATCCTCTGCCTCCGTGGGAGCCCTTTAAAGCGGGGGCAGTGCTTCCCATTTGTGGTCGCATTCTCACGGATCTTTTCCTGGGGCACGGGCTTGACCAGCTCCCCGGACCAGCCCGTGGGGCCACCTAGGGCCCTGCCCCACCGAGGGGCCTTGCTCTGTGCTCTCCCACCTGACCTGGCAGCTGGCCCCTCTCAGCACTGCCCTTGAGGGAGCCCATTCCCCTTCTGGACTGCGAACTTGGTCCTCTCTTTGTTGGTCACAGCCGCTTCCCTGCCAGGCACCAGGGCCTGTTAGACAGTGACGGTGTGGCTGTGTGCTCCCTTCTGGTCATCCACTTGTAGGCCACCCAGCAGGCCAGGCCCTCGGGGCGCTGCGCTCCCTTCCTGTGGCAGCGCACAGCGGCCCCAGCAGGGCACTGGTTGGCCTGGTGGGCAGTGCAGGGGTAGTTGACCTTGGTGTGAAGAAGCAGGGAAACACATCTCTGTGTACTCTTAGAAGATGCCTCGCGGAAGCCACCGGCTGCACGAGCGTGGAGTATCTGCTTTAGGGAGCGGGTGGGTGACAGGAGGGCCCAGGCTTCTTGACATTCAGGGTGGCAGAGCAGAGCCAGGCAGCCTCTGCAGTGCAAGGCTGCCCCTGGCTGGGCCCCTCCCGTTTAGAGGCCTTATCATCACCAAGAGTGGGGGTGTGTGTGGGCCTGTCACAGCCTCCTGTGACCTGCCGGCTGGGGTGCACTCCCCAGGCAGTCCCGGGGCCATGCCTTGAATCCGTCTTCTTTTCTGCCCCACACAGGAACAGATCATCAGCCTGGTCAACCAGATCTGTGGCAAAGTGTCCGGGAAGAACGGCAGCATTGAGAACTGTCTCAGCAAACCCACACCAAAAAGAGGCCCCCGCAAGAGAGCGACCGTGGCCGTGCCACCCTCCCGCCTGGCGGCCTGCAGCTCATCCAAAAGTGCTGCGGGGGCATCATGAAGATGCCAACACCATGCTCGATTTCTATATATTTTTTGTAATTATATTCTAGTTTGGAGTACTTGCTGTAGGATACAAGCTGTCTTTGCACTAGCTCTAAAGAAGATTTTCTTCTGGTTTTAGAGAACTAATTTTTGTTTTAGCATTAAACTGTTGAACCATTGTTTTTGTACTTAGAATACCTAGACACTGCAGTCCGATCGGAAGCTGCCGTATACTCACTGTTTTCAACCCTTGGGGCTGTATTAATTTGTATCGCCCCTGTGGCTGACAAAAGCCTTTTTTTGTTTTGTTTTATTGTTTTGTTTTGTTTTTTGTAACTGTTGGGGGGAAAAAGGCTTTTTAACCCGTTTTTGAAGAGGGTGAAGTTTGGAGAACAAAATTTTAAAACATCAGTCATGTGAGCAGATTTTTCTAGATTGGAAAAGGGATAGGACACACACACACACACAGACACACACACACAGAAAACTTGAAGAGGAACGGCTTTGCTTCGGCTGTCTGTCCTTCTGTCACGTGCGAGCTGAGTCTGTATTCTGGAAGCCGGAGGAGCCCTGTCGGTGTGCTCTGGCATGTGGCAGCTGGAGGCGGACTCTGTCCTGGCCGCGTGCGCAGTGAGGAGACTGGCGTGACTCGGTTCTCTCACCAGCACTGCACTATGCATCTGTCTGAGGAAGGAGGGGCGTGCGGGAGACCTGTGCCTGATTTCATTAGGAAATCCATTCTGTTATTTTTGGTGCTGTTGGCTCCTTTATCAGAAACCCTTCAATAATAGCATCCCTACAGAGGGAAAAAAAAAAACACACACACACAAGGAAAACCAAGTGGTGGAAGCCCGGAGCGCTTCTGCGTCACCGACGTGCAATCTGACATTCCATCCTCGTCTGCCCGCTCCCCGTGTGCACCCGACCGTCAGCATTAACCCTCTCCAGTCCTTCCCTCTGTGATCACTCGTAGAGCCACTAGGTCTGCAGTTCTTTCTGAATGTGAAAATGCATTTGTGCTCATCTTGTCTATTTTTCTCTTCATGTTGTAACAAAAAGGAAAAAAAAAATAGAAAAAAAGAATCCCATCCCTTTTGTACATACGCCTGTAAATTGTTTTAAATACTTGAGCCTTTTCTCAGTGGGGGCGGGGCGGGGGGAGAAGACGAGATGAAGAAAAGCCTTACACTTCAGTTTCTTCATCGTGGCGTTGGATGCTTACAGGGTTTTTCTTGTAACGTTGATAAGTGCTGCTTACATCACTGAACAACAACAACAGAACAATAATGGAGTAGCTGTTGCCCGTCTCCGCTTGTGTGTACAGTATGTGTGGAATAAAAAAGGGAAACTGTTTTCACAAGCTGTTCTTTGTTTCATAATTGGATTCATCGATCCCGTAGCTACCCATATTGCACTGAGCTTGCCAGTGGTGACTGCCAGGAACGTTCTCTGATCCACTTTGTTGGTCGTCGTTGCGGAAGACTGAACTGTTTTGGAATATTTAATAACAATGACATAAACAGTCAAGTGTTTGCCAATGTGGTTGTCCAGTGTTCTGGCCTTGCTGTGTCCCCTTGCTCCACAGTGACTTCTGCCTCTGGCTTACAGGTTGACGTTTAATTTATTAGCGCTGCTCTGCACCCTCCCTGGGGAGGGGAGACGTCATGTGGTTTTATTGCCAGTTTTTGTTTACTTTTCAGCTTTGTACTACAAGGTTTAATAATAAAAAGACATTTTTTGGACACCTGTCTGTCTGGTGGAAGCTGAATGAGTGCAGCGAGCTGTCACGGTGGGTGCCGGCGTGGACCTGCCACGGAGGGGTGCCACTGCTGCTGCTGGAGGCTTGTGGGGCCCCTGCTGCCGTGGGCGGGGCCTGCGTGGACCTCCCCGGTCCTCCCCAGTTCTCCCCAGTCCTCCCCGGCCATCAGGAGGGTGCTGGCGATGCAGGCCTTGGCCTTGGACCCACACGCGTGTCTGAGCTGGAGTTGGGGGCTGGCCTGCTGGCCCAGTGGTCAGGTTGGGATGGCAGAAGCGTGGTCAGAACAGAACCTGACTAAAACTCATTACATGTTGAGAACTAGAACGTTCTACATGTGATGGGGAGGTCATTAATACTCTCTGAACCAGGACCAGGGATCCCACTTTCCCACCCACTTTCCCTCCCGCGTCCTACCTTGCTGATGCCAGGCTCTGCTTGGGGAACCTCTGCACTGGCCCTCTGGCTGTGGGTGCCCATGGGCCTTGGCACAGACTAGCTGGGGACTCCTGTGGTTTCAACTTTGCTTTATTCACAGCTCTTTCAGTCAACTTCTCACACATTTTTGGCAACTGTAAAAACCAAGACCCTCTATAGACAACCAGACTTTACAGGCGGGCTTGCGCTCACGCTCGAGTGTCGTTCAGTGTGCACGGATGTCCTGATTCAGGAGTCGCTGTCGTCGCTTGCCTCTGTGGCTGCCTTCCCGTCAGAGTGCAGTGTGGCCAGGGCCGTGTCCACCTGCACGTCCTCCTCATCCGACTGCACCATGGGGCGTGCGCTCCCTTCGCCCGCATCCTGCGCTGCCGAGTTGCTGCAGGTGTACGGGGAGGAAGGCGGCTCAGTGGGCAAGTGTGAAGGATGTGGAACCTCAAAGGTGATGCACGTTTGGGGTTCAGGCCCTACAAGGAAACGGAAAAAGAAACCTGTCATATGGTATGCCTTCAGGTTGCCATGGGCAACAGCAAATGGGTACAAGAAGATGGCGTATGCTACTGTTGGTGGGCACTTGGGGTCTGCAGTGATGCTGTTTACCATGCAGCCTGTGCCAGGCCCCTGGGGGTGTGCGTCTGGGCCAGCCCACCCAGCAAGCCTGGACTGATGGCACCGGCCACGCAGCCCCTCTCACACCAGCGCCACGGCATGACGGCCGAAGTCCGCCCACCCCGCAGCTCTCCTAGGAATTCCAGTTTCTTTGGCGGCTGCACCGTTTCCGTGTTGTGCGCTGCCAGCAGCACTGCCCACACGACCCCTTCAGTCAGTGCTATGCCCCTGGGAGGATGAGGGTGGGGCCCCAAGGACCCCCCCTTTCTGGGACAAGCCTGCAGAAGCGCAGGGAGGGGATGTGGAAAACCACGGTAAGGAGGAACTTGACAAGGGGCTGAGGAACGCTGGGAGGGAAGAAGGTAAAGGGTCCAGGGAGCGGTGAGCGCAGCGAAGAGCCAAGAGCCGACAAGGCACCTGTAAATGGGGGACAAAGCACCTAAACGGGCAAGAGCTGGGCTGGGCACACCCAAGCCTGTGGGCGAGGTGCAAAGTTTACCTGAGCCTTGCGGCAGCTGCCCACACTCCTGGCCTTATACCTCACACTGGTTTGAGATGGACAGGTGTGGGCTGGGGGTGGCTTCCCTTTGGGGGGCACGCAGCATTATGATGTCCTTGAGTACCTGTGACAGGAGACTGCACGCTGCCCTCTTCGCCGCCGGAGTTCAAGAAGACGTCCAGGGCCTCCTGGTCGGAGATGTCCATGAGGTCCATGTGCTCCAGCATGTCCACGTTCACCTCCATGGACGACATGCTGCCCATGGGCTCTGCAACACAGCAGCACACAGTCACACCCGGCTCAGCACTCACGTGGGCGGGGAGCCTCTGTCAGGGCCATGTGGGGCTTTTAACATCGTTGCGGACCACGCGTACTGAACCTCAGCCTGCCACTGCCTGCCTGCGGTACAGCCTGCCACCCATCGCCACCTTCAAAGGGAACTGAAGTGGGCACATCTCAGCCTGCAGCTGGACCCGTGTCCCAAGTCCCCCTTGCTCACAGCTCTGCCTGTTCTTTGCGTCCCTTGGTTTACAGGCACTGCAGGCACGGAGCAGTTCTCGGCGGGACCAGCAGCAGACACTCGGCTCCTTTTCAGCCCGCGGCCCACTCCGGTCGGCTGCCAATGCGGGTTCTCCCCGCCCTGGTGGTCTGCACCGCAGCAGCTGCGGCTGGGCACTCCTTGCAGAGAAGGCACCGGCCGGCACAGCAGGCTGCCAGGGCGCGCTCGGAGCATGGCCAGGCTGGGCAGCCCACAGAGCTGCGGCAAGGCCCCTGCAGGTTCCACAGACACGTTCCAGAAGGGGGCGTGCACACGTAACCCTGGCTCTCACAGGAATAGGAACCGCCAGTTCCGACCCCACGTGGAGTTCACGGCACACTCGGGTCGCAGAAAGCAAACTGCAACCATCCCTTCCTGCCCACACTGATGACTGCGAGTGACGTCACAGGGCTTCCAGACAGGAACAATGTAATCGCTGGATTCTAGAACTCCAGGCACATGTTCAATAATTAGAGCCCAGTAGAAAATAAACCAAAAGCCAAAGCAAGCTAAGCTGTGCTCAGCAGCTGGGAAAGAGGATGCATGTGCTGAACCCTGCGTAACAGCGATGCTCGCCTACACCAACGATGGACACAGCACCCAAGACAAAGATGCAGAGAAAGGCAGCCAGAGGACGCACCTGCCGACAAAGGGAACTTCTGAACAACATGTGAGACAAATGTCGTCTCTAAGATGTCATTTAAGATGCACTTCAGACCAGCAGAGCCTGCCTGAAGAAGGCGTGCCTGCTGGCAAAGGGACTCGAGTCGGAGAGGGGTCCTGTGCCGACCGGAGCTGCACAGGGGCTGAGTGACGGGTGGGCAGTCTTGGACACAGAATCACGCAGAGTTCCGCTTGACGAGATGGAGGACACACTGTGCGCATTCGAGGTTGGGGATGGCAGTCTGTCCCAGTGGACGCGCCCACGCTGGCGGCAAGCCCCGGCCGACCGCCAGGGGGCGCCAGGCCCGCTCTGCCGTGGTGCTGATGCAGGAGCATCTTCAGGGGCCGATCCTCACCCTGATCCCCACGGGGACTCGGGGACTCCTGGGCAGCCTCCACGACCCCGGAGGCTGCTGGTGGGAGGGCTGCATGAAGGCTCCTCCCGCGGCCCGGTCCCCAAAGCCCCGGCGCGGTGGCCGCTCTGCACGGCTTTCCTGGACTTTGCCTTCACTTCAGGTCAGACTGCGACACCTTTCTGAAAAGGCCAGAGCGCAACCGAAAACGGCAGAGAGAAGTGACAAAAAAGCAGAGGGAACGCGTTCAAGAAACGTGGCTGAGGAAGACAGTCCTGACGCGCGGAGTCTGGAACTGCGAGGAGACTGGGCAGCTACCGGCCCAAGCTGCTACCCGGCTACAGCGCCGCTCCCAGCTGCGTCCGGCAGGCGCTACTGACATACAAACACTCAGACACATTAAAGGACTTTTTAAATGTAGAAACCCGTAATAAGCCTATAATAAGGCAAATAATTTAAGAAAACATACAAGTTGAAGAAATTCAATCATAATGACAAATTTGAAACATCTAGTTAAATATCAAAAGGATAGAATTCACCTAAAAGTACTCTGCAAGAAACGCATACCTTTGAGTGCCTTATTAGAAAACGAATGCTGAAAGCCAAGCCCGCGCCTTCAACACACCCAGAGCAAATGTCCCGCACAACGGGTCAGTGGCCACCCAGGTCACCTGCTCTGCTGCCAGCCTCCGGCTGACGCACCCGGGGGAGGTGGCAGGGAACAACACCCAGGACGCGGCTCCTTGCCAGCCACACCGGAGACAGGGACAGGGTCTGGAGCCCCAGCTTCAGCCCGACCTAGCCCCAGTGAGGGCAGGCCTTGGCGATGGGAGCCAGCAGGTGGCAGATCGCTCTCTGCCTTTGAGATAAACAAACAAACAAAAAAAATAAGCCTTTAAACACAGAGAAACGTCCAAAGAAAGCAAAGCTAAAGAGAAGTTAATCACCATGGAGAGAAGTTGGTTTCTTGGGGAGAAAAACTTCAAAGTGAGGTGGTTCCGGTAGGACTCACTGAACCAGAGAAGAGGCACAAATGAATGACTTAGCAAAGCCGAGCCAACCTAGCAACAGAACACAGCCGCGCCGGGAAGGCTTTCGGCGCAGTTTACGGCAACAGGCAAAACGAACAACAATCAGTCGGGTAACCAAGAGGCGGCACGTCCTTCGGCAGAGGTCCCTGGGTCCAGGCAGGGCCCCACGCCAAGCTCGGAAACGGATGCTGATCAATGCGCACCCACAAAACCACTGGGATCCCCGAGAGGCCAATTCTCCCTCAACCTGGAAACTCAGCCTAGCTGGGTTGAGTCTTGGCAAACAACCTGAAACCTCAACGCTGGCGCAAAAGCATGAAGAGCTGCCAGGCAGAATACGGAAAAGAGCAGAACTGCAGGGATAAGACTGGGTGGAGTGCCCTGCTCACCTGGAGCTGGGACTTCCTGAGACGTGGAAGTACAAGCCATCAACACTACCATGGATCGAGCCGATGGCCACACAAGCACGGCAAGGCCACTCCGAGACACACCAACAGAACTTACCAACACCAACGCTGAACCGACTCGGCGAAGATGAGTATCAAACACCCAAATGAAAGTGACAAAGCTGTAAGGATCTGACGTATCAAGTGCTGACACAGATGTCACTGGAAAATGCCCACACACAGCTGGGAATGCTGTAAGTGGCACAGACCTCTTGACAAGTAACGTGCCAGCATCTAGCAAAGCCGCACACACACACAGCTGACCAACAGACATGCATGCCATGTTCGGTGACCAAAGACACAGAGGCCACATGACCAGGAAGCTTCCATCCTCATGCCAGCAGTCTCAGTCCCCATCTGAGCCCTGGTACACAAGCAACCGCCAGAGGGAGGCGCACGAGGCCGCCTCGAGCAACCTGCACCAGTGCGTGGAGGTGCGCTCAGGCGTCGTCTGCAGTGTGAGGAGACAACCCTTGGAGACGCACCTTCACCTTCGGAAAGCCATGTGAGAACATGACCGACGCGTCCGGGCTGACAGGGCTGACATGGATGCTGCCCGGGGGTCAGGTGTGAGAGCCAGATGAGGCGTGTGTGTGCATGTGTGGGTGGCGTGTCAGGCAGCGCTCGTTGCGGGGGAGCCTGAGCTGTACAGATGGGGCGCTGCTGCAGCTGGGGCAGTGGCGGGGAGAGGCTGGGGACACTGCTGGCACCAGCACGTCTGTGGCCCATGGAATAGCGCAGGACACGGCATAAAAAGCGGAATTAAATACACTGCCATCCAGAAAGGGGCTGGGCGCCATTACTGTCACCACTTTGCTGGGTATTTAAAACACTCCTTACTACACATCAACGATGACTCTGAAGACTTACTAAATAAATAAATAAAGTTTATTTAGAGTCCTAAATAAAAACCTCCCGGGAGCCAGGTATGCCAGGTTACAGTCATCAGGTGCTAGAGTGAGTCTTGGGCACAGTCTGTGGGCACCAGGTCAGCTGCATTATGCCACTCTTTCTATTTTATCCAACTGGACCGCCAACTCCGGCCCGTGCCCTGGGTACCTTGGGCATCCAGGGTAGTGTGCCTCCCTGAGCACCGGGGCAGGCTGGCAGGCTGCTGGTTCAGCACAGACCAGGGGGAACCCGAGCTGGGAGCCTGGGGACACAGGTCACGTGGTAATAAACCAAGGCACAGTGTGACACACTGAAAGCCAGCCTGAAGTAGCAGCTTTTCTAAGAAAACAGGAGTGATGGCAGCCAGAAAGACAGGCCTGGGCCAGGGTCTCACCGAGCACCCGACCCCGTGCTGGCAGTGCTGGTCTGTCACACCTGTGCCGGGCCGCATCTGGCTCCGCTCTCCCCAGGCGCCCCTTCCTGGGATACACGTCCCACGGCGCTGCTCCTGCAAGTGAGGGGCACGCAGGCTGCTGCTTCCACGTGACTCTGCAAGGCGGTGTCCGTGCAGCGACTCCACCAGGCTCTGCTATGCTAAACTAAACCTTCCTGGGTTCACCCCTGGAGACAGAGACACGGTGTGAATCCCGGCAGAGGCCCGGTGGTTGTGTGTGCATGACCCCCAGCTCCCACAAAGCTGAGAGTGCAAACCGACACCTCCTGCTTTTCCGGGTAGTGGCAGCAGGAGCCTGACACCTGTTCTTACCTCAGTGACCCAACCACCCTGTAGTGAAACCGGAAGCAAACTATCCTGGAGCTGCTGCTCAGAATCCCAAAACTGCCCCGCCCAGTTGAGCTGGTCGCTGTTTGACAAGGATTCGCCCTCTGCCTTCACTCCCGCAGCTGCCATGTTCTGCCACGACTACGAAGCTGCTGCAACATTTCTGGGGCTGGCGGACCAAAGTGCACACATCCCGTGCGCGATGATACCCTGAGCAAGCACACATCCGGGCACTGAGCATGGAGGGCCTCGGTGGCAGCGTTTCCTTCACCTCCCATCCTCTCCAGAATGCACAGCAGCAGGCTGGCCACTGGGTGTGAGACTCAAGACACCCTATGTTTGTGTCCCCTCCCATTTCACCTGCTGACGCCTGAGCCCTCAGCACAACGCTGTATGCAGTGGGGCCTTAGGAGATGGTGACTGACTGCCAAGGACACGTGTGGGTCCTTGGTAAGGAAGTCTTACAGTCAGGGGCCGCAGCCCCTTTGGTCACACGTGGGCACTGTCAGAAGGCAGTCACCTGCCAATCAGGAGGCAACCCTCCGCAGACATCAACAGCACCTTGATCCAAGCAGAGCTCCAGACTGAGAGAAAATCGACTCGTGTTGCTAAGGTGCCCCAGCCAGCAGCATTCTGCTACAGCAGCCCCAACAAGGATGGAGTCCTCAGCTCCAGCCCGTCACAGGATGGAGGTCTCCAGGGCAGACTCCATGCCTCCCCAAGCCACTGGGTCAGCCACGCTCCACCAGCAGCACCAAACACTAGGGCATCAGCTGCTGGCACACGCCACTAGGTGGAGATGACTCCGAGCAGCGCACTGCCGGAAGGTAGGAAGCTGCCAGCAGGGCCGAAGAGCAGCCTTCCGCGCTGAGCTGCCCACCGGAGCACCGCGGGCAGCCGAGGGTGCTGGCCACATGCCAAGCACATGCATGCGGCTCACCTGCATCTCTGCCTGCTCGCCTGCCTCACCTCTGCTTTCTCAGAGGATCATGGGAACGTGTGGGGGATGTGGCGTGCCAGGAAAAGGGATGAAGAAAAGGGGAGTGGGCTTCCGGGGTGCAGGAGGGTGGGTGGTAAGACACCCATGCCTACAGGAGGGCAGGGAAGGGGTACCCTGGCCACATCTCCAGTGTCCTGGGTACCACTCCCAGGCCACAGCGGGGGGTGGCAGAGAAAGGAGTCCATTCCCCAAGTTCTCTCCTAGTCAAGTTTTCTGTTTCCACTCCCAGATGCTCCTCAGAGCCCCACGCACAGTGGCGACGAGGCTCTGCGTTCAGGAAGGGCCCTGCTCACCCATGCACGCTGTCCCTCTCCCGAGGAGCCAGCTGCAAGGCCTGCCCCAGGGTGCCGGCACTGCGCATGTGCAGACCCCTCTCCCTGTTATTCCCAAACAACACTGTGTGACCACTCCTGGCACAGGGCTGGCACCGTAGCAGGCACTACAGGCAATCAAGAGGTGACAGTGTGTGCAGGCCAACACAGAGGGGACCTGGGTGTTACAGACTTTGGGGTCCTGGAACCAAATCCACTGCTCCCACCACACCAGAGAGTGAGACGACTGCCTGGGTACACTCCGACAGTGACAACACAGCGTTAAATACACAGCCTTGCAAAGAATTCCTGTCAGCACGGAAGGAGCCCCTTATGTCTGAGGCTTCTTCACAAAGTTTGGGGGAAAACGCAATTAAATGTATGGTGCTGGGGAAAAAAAAAAGCCTTGAAATCCATGCATAATTTTGTTTCAAAGTGGGCGTTTTTCATGAAGTTTTCTGAGAATTCCCTTCAGGCAGGAACTTCAACCAACACTGACCTGACAACAGCGCAAGCCTGTGCCGAAACACAGGGCATCCCGGGACTCAGTTCTCTTGTCTTTTTTACTTAGTTTTTTCTTCTACATTTTCTATCATGGAATTTGTAATTTTAAAATGCAGTTGAAAAAACGTCTTCAGCTAGAGACTGGGCGAAGGCAGGACAGAAGCCTGCGCACGCTTGTGCTCGGACAGAGCTCGCGACCCCGGCGCCCCGCCACTCACCCCGGTGCCCCGTGATGTGCAGGTGGCCCGTGGACAGGTACTGCTCCACATCCTGCTGGAAGGCTTCCTCGAAGAACTTCTGCCGCTCCTTCAGCCGTGCCTGCTGGGCGTGCTCCATGTCCTGCACCCGCTGCGAGTGCTCGGCATCTAGTTCAGCTAAGGAAGTGGAGTGACAGGGGTTAGGGTCCGAAAGGGGACTGACATGGGCACTGGCTCATCCCCCCTCCCGCCCCCACGCTGCTTCCACAGCCGTCTCCTTGTTGGGTCTGTCGCACTGGCTGCTGGGTGTAAGCCTGATCTGCACACTGCAGCCGGAGGGGCTTGGGGGGAACGTGGAGCTGCCCAGCCACATGTGCCCGTGGTGATGTGTGCTCTGCTCCCACTGCTGCTTGTCCACGCCTGTGTGCAGGGGCATGGGCTCACAGGGTGCAAGGAGCACAGGGCTGCAATTAGTGCCACTCAGGCCCTGGCCTTGCAGCGGTCATGCCCTCACACCCCTTCCAGCCCACCTCCGCTGCGGCCCTCCAGGTCCCACGGCAAAGGCCGTGCCTGGCATCCCAGGTGCCCCCCAGCAGCTGGCAGAGCCCAAGTCCAGCAGCCGCCTCGAGGTGACACTGCAGACGTCACTCTGAGGACAGCCCCAGGAGGTCGCATAGCAGCCCACACGTCCTCTCCCGCTGGCAGACTGACTCTGCTCGCTTTTCCTCCCGCACTGCCCGTCCTGCCTGATGTCCAGCCACATTCTCAGAGAACACTGGAGCCTGAAGCAGCCCTGCTGTCCGAGCTGGGCTGCCCAGGACCAGGCAGGTCAGAGCACCGTGTCCTCAGGCTGTCACCCGCAGGCACATGGCGCTGGCCACACACTTCAACAGACTCCTGAGGGGCAGGAAGTGGCAGAGGACCAGGAAGAGCATGGCATCCCTGCGCGCACACATCAGTCAGTTCAGTCGGTTGCCCTGCGCTTTCGCCAGCACACGGACAAGGAATTCAGAGCGCACTCAAAAAGACAGAGAAGACAAAACCGAACAGAAGAGGACGGCTCTTCACAGGCTTTGCCTCAGCTGTCACAGTGTCTGAGCAGAAACTGCCTGACTGCCAAGTGCAGCCGACCGAGTCGGCCCTGAGACAGCAAGGCTGCTTCAAGCACTTCAAAGTTAGGTATGCCAGGCTACGCAGCTCAACAGCAAAGATCAAGGTAGAAGCCTTCAGAGGAGTTCTAATTAGAGAAGACAGGAGAGCTGTAACATAAAAATGTCACTTTTCTAGGACTCAGACTGCAAAAGTTCAGTTCTCTGATGTTTCTGGATTGTAAATCCTACAGTTCATTATCTTAGCTTTTCTCTGTGGGAATATAATCCAATCAGGGCTCAGCCCTCAGAGGAGAAAGGGCTGCTGGGCCCAGGACCTTAAAATGACTTGAAAAGGACACAGGCAAGCAAAACCACGCTGTTCGCTAGTTCTCTGGAACACCCCGGTGCCTGTGACAGCCACGTCTCGGTCACATCTCTGTCGCGTCCCTGGCTGTGCCCTCAGCTGCTCAGGAGGAAGCCCGTGGCAGCCCGGACTGGGAGCTGGACTAGGAGCTCTGCAGGCGGCGGCTGGGAGAGGCGCCCCAGCCATGCGTGGGAGAGGAGGCACAGCGTGTCCGGAGCCACCTGCCCCACGAGCAGTGGACATGGAGGCACGGGGAAGCTTACTGTGCCCACGTGTGACAGTGATCACTCACGGGTCTAAACTGCAGAGCTCCCTCTGCAAGGAGCAGTGAACCTTTGTCCACATTTCAGACACCATGTTCGAATGCTCTTCGCATCCCCTACCACCCTGCCAAAAGCCACACAAAAATGTAAAGAACTAAACCAATGGCGATAGGATGAATACCACCACCACCAGGACCATGCAAGGTAGTGCTGCCGGTCACTCTGGCTGTCCTTGGGGGGCTCTGCAGTGCTCCCCCAGCCATGGCTGACGGCGGTGTCCCCGTGGCCACCACCACCACCCTCGCATGGCACCCCCAGCCACCATCACCACCCTCACATGGCACTCCCCGCAACAAGAACCCTGCTGCCACCACGACCAGGAACAATCCCTGGAGTGGTAGGCACCCAAGACAGACATTTTTATTTTTAATTCATCATGCTCTCTTCAGGAATAACTTCAAGCTCCTCTACAACTAAGCTTTTCAACAGAGCTGACAGAGAGAGGGAGGGAGGATCTAGGTCGAGGAGGAAGCCGCACATCCACGTTAACAGATGTGAAGAGAACAATGTGACACACGTGGCCAAGCACGCCAGGACTCGCCACAGCCTGTAAGACACACAGACACACAGCACAGCTTTTCTCGTTCAGGACCAAGAGAGACTTGAGAATAAACCTCAACAGGGGCAACTGACGCATGTACACTCTGATGTCTTTAGAGAATTCTGTGACACTAAAATACACGTGGCATGATCAAGCAAGAACTGAGAAATCTCTATACATCCCTAAGCAAATCTGTAAATATAAACAAATTAAATGTAAATGAATGTAAACAAGTTAACCGGCTACCATAAGGCCGCACTAAATTCCTGTGACAAAATTTTAAAAACTGAGACCTACTAATTTTTCTAGGCTACTGGTTGTTAGAACTGCTTCTTTGGAGGGCTTTGTCTGTCTGTTTTATTCAACGTGTCTTAGCCATTAAACAGGTGAGAAAGGCAGCAAGATACTGTGTGTGCGAGCGTGCGGTCTTCACCATCCACCTACTGAAGGCCATCTGGGCTGTTTCCACCGCTTAGCCTGCAGGAACGCTGCCTGAGGAGCTGGAACTGATGTCAGGGAGTGGAACTGCTGAGCCCTCCAGCTCTGAACGGGATAACCAGGCTGCTCTATGGGGTGGCCACCCCAGGCGGCCCTGTCGCCAGCAGGTGAGCAAGCCGCACCCCTACCCCAGTACATGCTGTCCCTCTCCCTGGCTTAATTTTCTTTACATCTGGATTTAATACAGTATATCCGATTTCAGAAAGAAAAAAAAAAACTTTATTCTGAAACTGAGAATTTGCCAAATGATGCTTCCAACTTGAAGCCCCATCCTCCGGTAACCTTTCACAATGACGCCCATTCAGCTCCTCCGTCTGCTCCACCCCCTGCGCCTCCAACAGAGCAAGTGAATAGAAACGTCTCAGATTTGGACCACAAAAATACCATCAGGAACTGTTTTCCAAGAACAGGAGCTTTTTAAGCTGCAGTTTTAAGATATCCACTTCCACCATGGGTCTCTACACATCCAGGCTTCACCTGTCATTAGCTTCATGCATGATTTCTCAGCGCACCTGCAAGTGTTACAGAGCCCGGACACCTCAGAACCAGCAGCTGGGAAACCATCCCGGCCGAGCCAGAGCCCATGTACCTTCAGAAGAAAGCAGAACGACCATCTGCTCTCCAGCACACGCCTCCTCCCCTCACTTGTTTATCAAGCACCAAACAGACCCACTTCTTCCAGAGGCAGCTAGGAAAGGCTGAGCCTTACCTGGAACCTGGCAGTGGAGAGTGGTGGCGGGATCCGGGCCTTCAGCATGAGTCAACTTGCACACAAAGGAATCTCGGCACTCCCCAGCTGTCCCTGAGCCGGCCTGGGAGCGGCTAGGGAAGGGCTGTTTCCGAATCCCATGCCACAGGAAGTGCTGTGTTAGTGTCCATCAATTACCCTGAAGCAGACACCCGCGAGCCGGAGCACTAGTCAAATCCAGGCTGCAGCCACACGGTGTGCACAAGCCCTTGGCCACAGTCAGAGGAGGCCTGCCTGTGCCCCGCCACCAGTCCCAGAGCTCCAACTACCCTGCCCGGGAGCGGGCAGGCAGCCCTGCCCCAGAGCTCCATGTACCCTTCCCCGGGAGCGGGCAGGCAGCCCTGCCCCAGAGCTCCATGTACCCTTCCCCGGGAGCGGGCAGGCAGCGCTGCCCAGAGCTCCATGTACCCTTCCCCGGGGGGCAGGCAGGCAGCGCTGCCCCAGAGCTCCGTGTATCCTGGCAGCCCTGCCCCAGAGCTCCATGTACCCTTCCCCGGGAGCGGGCAGGCAGCCCTGCCCCAGAGCTCCATGTACCCTTCCCCGGGAGCAGGCAGGCAGCGCTGCCCCAGAGCTCCATGTACCCTTCCCCGGGAGCGGGCAGGCAGCGCTGCCCCAGAGCTCCATGTACCCTTCCCCGGGGGGCAGGCAGGCAGCGCTGCCCCAGAGCTCCGTGTATCCTGGCAGCCCTGCCCCAGAGCTCCATGTACCCTTCCCCGGGAGCGGGCAGGCAGCGCTGCCCCCGAGCTCCATGTACCCTTCCCCGGGAGCGGGCAGGCCGCGCTGCCCCAGAGCTCCATGTACCCTTCCCCGGGGGGCAGGCAGGCAGCGCTGCCCCAGAGCTCCGTGTATCCTGGCAGCCCTGCCCCAGAGCTCCATGTACCCTTCCCCGGGAGCGGGCAGGCAGCGCTGCCCCAGAGCTCCATGTACCCTTCCCCGGGAGCAGGCAGGCAGCGCTGCCCCAGAGCTCCGTGTACCCTTCCCCGGGGGGCAGGCAGGCAGCGCTGCCCCAGAGCTCCGTGTATCCTGGCAGCCCTGCCCCAGAGCTCCATGTACCCTTCCCCGGGAGCAGGCAGGCAGCCCTGCCCCAGAGCTCCATGTACCCTTCCCCGGGGGGCAGGCAGGCAGCGCTGCCCCAGAGCTCCGTGTATCCTGGCAGCCCTGCCCCAGAACTCGGCGTGGCTGCAGTGCTGTCTGCATCTGGGCTGCTCAGCCCCAGGAAAAGGAGGGACTGGATGACAGAGCAAGGTCACTTCCAGCTCCTGGTTCTGTTTTTACTCATTTCAGGTTGGGGCAGGAAAGAGTGATCCCAACCTCTTTGCTTGCTTGCTTTCTCTCTCTCTCTTTTTTCTTTCCATCCTTCCTTCCTTTCTTCCTTCCTTCTTGTTAAATTTTTATTTTGAATTTTGAATTTTATGGTACAATTTTGTATAGACTGGGGTCTCCCCCCCAAACTCCCACCTGTCTGTTTTTGTAGTAAACAGATAACAACAGGTTGGCATTAAGGAACTGAAAACATTTTGAATTGTACTGCACCACTTCAAGAGAATTAATCAGCAATGAAAACCTAAGGAGGTTTCTACATTCTTTTTTTTTCCTGGAAATTTTATTATTTAAAGAATGGGTGGAACTCAACAGTTTAAGATTACTGACAAATGCAGAATGCTGTCACTCTTCAGTGAGAGCCTTCACACGACAGCCACCTGTTCCAAATCCACAAGCTCAGGTTAACACCCAGTCCGGCGGCTTGAACAAGTTCATGTGGCCTCAAGGCTACTGGAACTCCCTGCAGGAGACCAGCACATTGCTAAACAGATACATGGGTAAGGACTGGGGCCAGCCACGGTGGCACAGCACACTAATCCTCTACCTGTAGCACCAGTCCGTGTCCCACTGCTCCACTTCCCATAAAGCTCTCTTGCTTACAGCCTGGGAACGCAGTGGGAGAGGGCCCAAAGCCTTGGGCTCTCCCACACTCACGAGGGAGACCTGGATGAAGCTCTTGGCTCCCACCTTCGGATGGGTTCAGCTCTACCCCTTGGGACTATTTGGGGAGTGAACTAGCCACTGGAAGACCTCTCTTAAAAAATACTACTTTTCAGCATCATAGTCAAGTGACTAAGTCCTCAACCTGCATGTCTGGGATACCATATGGGTGCTGGTTCATGTCCTGGCTGCTCCACTTCCCATCCAGCCTCCTGCGTGTAGCCTGGGAAAGCAATAGAGGATGGCTCAAAATAGAGATGGCTCTCGGGACCTTTACCCGTGTGGGAGACACGGAGGAAGTTCTTGGCTCTTGGCTTTGGATTGGCTCAGTTGTGGCCATTGGGGCCACTTAGGGAGTGAACCAGTAGATGGAAGACCTTTCTATATCTCCTTATGTCTGTATATCTGCTTTTCCAATAAAAATAAATAAATATTTTTTAATGGATTTAGCTTAAAGAAAGGCTGAGAGGCAGGCACTTCAGTATAGTGTTTTTCTTTTTAAGATTTATTTATTTATTGGAAAGGCAGATATACAGAGAGGAGGAGAGACAGAGAGGAAAATCTTCTGTCCAATGGTTTACTCCCCAAGCAGCCGTAACAGCTAGAGCTGAGCCAATCCGAAGCCAGAAGCCAGGAGCCAGGAGCTCTTCCAGGTCTCCCACACGGGTGCAGGGTCTCAAGGCTTTGGGCCATCCTCGGCTGCTTTCCCAGGCCACAAGCAGGGAGCTGGATGGGAAGTGGAGCTGCCGGGACACAAAGCGGTGACTAGGTGGAATGCAGGTGCTTGCAGGCAGAGGAATAGTTAGTTGAGCCATCTTGCCTCCCCACGCCCCATATAGTTTATCTAAAGCACTGGCCTCATTAATAATCATCTGGGGAAAAACTGGGAAAGATATTTATCACTGTAAGAATTCTCTCAAACTCAGATCTTTTAGTGTTGCATCAAACACTCTAGGAAGAAGCAAGAACAAAATGTGTCTCTGGATGACAACCTGTCTGAGACAGCAGGCCACAGGCTGGCAGCATGCAGGGTTGGAGACCCAGTGCAGTGGATGAACGACACGTCCTCTGCATCCACTGCACTCACAGGTTCACAGAAAACAAGCATCTGTAGACCGGGAAAGTACAATGAGTGATGCAGGCACAACTGCACACAACACCTTTGAACTCATCCACAAAGCTCCGGCAGCCACTACAACTCCTAACCATGCACGGCCACCAAGGGCGCTCGCGTGGCTGGCGGGTCCCAAGGCGGTCCCAGGGTGGCAGACGCAAGCCCAGGGCGCCCACAAGGTGGTCCCACGGTGGCAGACGCAAGCCCAGGGCGCCCACGTGGCTGTAGGGTCCCAAAGCGGTCCCAGGGTGGCAGACGCAAGCCCAGGGCACCTGCCACCCCACCTTCCCTGACTCTCGAGCTCTTTGCTGGCAAGCCCAGGAAAGTTCTGCCTCTTGCTTCCACCCAGACACACATGTCTAAGATTACACGTCTTTAAAACTGACTGGCAAAACTCAGGCAAAGAAAAATGTTTAGAGGACAATGCAGACCCAAGGCCAGCACTGAGGGTGTGCTGACAGCCAAGGACATGCAAAGGTGGGGCACCCAGGCCTAAATCCGGGCTGCACACGGACTTAAAATCATACTACCCTACCCTTCTCAGACCATTAACAAGCAATTGGATTGGAAGCACAGCGGCAGGGACACAAACCAGCATCCCTATGGGTATAGGCAGTAGCCTTTCCCACTATACAACTCTGCCTCCAATACTGTTTTGTAAAATACAATAAAATAAGGCCTGGTGTGTAGCCTAATAGCTAAAGTCCTCGCCTTGCATGTGCCAGGATCCTATATGGCTCTGGTTCATGTCCTGGATGCTCCACTTCCCATCCAGCTCCCTGCTTGTGGCTTGGGAAAGCAGTCGAGGACGGTCCAAAGCCTTGGGACCCTGCACCCATGTGGGAGACTAGGAAGAAGTTCCTGGCTCCTGCCTTCAGTTTGACTCAGCCCTGGTCATTGTAACCACTTGGGAATGAGTGAGCAGATATAAGACCTGTCTGTCGCTCTTTCTCTCTGTAAACCTGATTTCCCAATAAAAATACATGTTTTTTTTTAAGATTTATTTTTATTATTTTTTTTTATTGGAAAGGCGGATATACAGAGAGGAGAGACAGAGAGGAAGATCTTCCGTCCGATGATTCACTCCCCAAGTGAGCGCAACGGGCCGATACTATGCCGATCCGAAGCCAGGAGCCTCTTCTGGGTCTCCCACGCGGGTGCAGATTCCCAAAGCTTTGGGCCATCCTCGACTGCTTTTCCGGGCCACAGGCAGGGAGCTGGAAGGGAAGCGGGGCTGCCGGGATTAGAACCGGCGCCCATATGGGATCCCGGGCATGCAAGGCGAGGACCTTTAACCACTTGCGCCACCGCGCCGGGCCCAGAAATACATATTTTTAAAAAGTACAAGAAGAGGGCCCGGCGCGGTGGCGCAAGTGGTTAAAGGTCCTCGCCTTGCATGCCCGGGATCCCATATGGGCGCCGGTTCTAATCCCGGCAGCCCCGCTTCCCTTCCAGCTCCCTGCCTGTGGCCCGGAAAAGCAGTCGAGGATGGCCCAAAGCTTTGGGAATCTGCACCCGCGTGGGAGACCCAGAAGAGGCTCCTGGCTTCGGATCGGCATAGTATCGGCCCGTTGCGCTCACTTGGGGAGTGAATCATCGGACGGAAGATCTTCCTCTCTGTCTCTCCTCTCTGTATATCCGCCTTTCCAATAAAAAAAAATAATAATAAAAATAAATCTTTAAAAAAAAAAAAGTATAAGAAGAAGGAGTTGCATATGAATTTCACCATGTTAAGAAGTGAAACCAAACCTTAAGGAAAAAAAGTAAAACCTAAACAAAATGTTTTCAATGGGGGGAGGGAGGAAGGACACTCAGAGGAAAAAAAAACAAACATGCAATTCCATGTATTACTAAAAATCAAGTAACAGTTTGGTCATAGCAGACTGGCCAATAATATATGGCACTAGCAAGAGAGAGGTAGTGTGATGGTTTAATCTTCCCACTGCAAGCACCAGAATCCCGTAGGGATGCTGGTTCATGTTCCGACTGTTCCACTTCAATCTAGCTGCTGTTTGTGGTCTGGG